ATTCAAAATAACCATTTTAACCAGTGCCAGTCACAGATGTACTATGAGCACATTTTAACATTAGGTTAAACAAGTCTAAAGGGTCCTGTCCTGATCATAAGTGCTGGACAGACATTAGACCAATTCAAACATTCTAATCAAGGGCACAGCCCATTATGGCAACTTTATTGCTGGCAAGGTGCAAAATCCACTGAAGAAGCTGTGACATGCTAAAAATAGGGTGGGCAACTCCTCCAAAACGCAGTTCTTCAAATGTCAAGATTTTACCTCAGAACAGTATTATAAAAAAAAAAAGCACTGACACTGTACTAATGGCACTGGGCAGGAAGGGGTTAACATGAGGGGCAATCAAAGGGTTAACTGTGTGCAGGGAGTGTTTTACTAGGGGGCGGTGTAAGTGTGCTTCACTGTAACAGGGGTATGGAAATTTTTTAAGAAACTACTTGTCCCTGGACTATATCGGGGTTTCAATCTATTTGTCCCTGGACTATATCGAGGTTTCAAGCTACTTGTCCCTGGACTATATCGGGGTTTCAATCTACTTGTCCCTGGACTATATCGGGGGTTTCAATCTACTTGTCCCTGAACTATATCGGGGTTTCAATCTACTTGTCCCTGGACTATATCGGGTTACAATCTACTTGTCCCTGGACTATATCGGGGTTTCAATCTACTTGTCCCTGGACTATATCGGGTTCCAATCTACTTGTCCCTGGACTATATCGGGGTTCCAATCTACTTGTCCCTGGACTATATCGAGGTTTCAATCTACTTGTCCCTGGACTATATCGTGGGTTTCAATCTACTTGTCCCTGGACTATATCGGGGTTACAATCTACTTGTCCCTGGACTATATCGGGGTTTCAATCTACTTGTCCCTGGACTATATCGGGTTCCAATCTACTTGTCCCTGGACTATATCGGGGTTCCAATCTACTTGTCCCTGGACTATATCGAGGTTTCAATCTACTTGTCCCTGGACTATATCGTGGGTTTCAATCTACTTGTCCCTGGACTATATCGGGGTTTTTCAATCTACTTGTCCCTGGACTATATCGGGGTTCCAATCTGCTTGTCCCTGGACTATATCGGGGTTACAATCTACTTGTCCCTGGACTATATCGGGGTTTCAATCTACTTGTCCCTGGACTATATCGGGTTCCAATCTACTTGTCCCTGGACTATATCGGGGTTCCAATCTACTTGTCCCTGGACTATATCGAGGTTTCAATCTACTTGTCCCTGGACTATATCGTGGGTTTCAATCTACTTGTCCCTGGACTATATCGGGGTTTCAATCTACTTGTCCTTGGACTATATCGGGGTTCCAATCTGCTTGTCCCTGGACTATATCGGGGTTCCAATCTACTTGTCCCTGGACTATATCGGGGTTCCAATCTGCTTGTCCCTGGACTATATCGGGGTTCCAATCTGCTTGTCCCTGGACTATATCGGGGTTCCAATCTACTTGTCCCTGGACTATATCAGGGTTTCAATCTACTTGTCCCTGGACTATATCGGGGTTCCAATCTACTTGTCCCTGGACTATATCAGGGTTTCAATCTACTTGCCCCTGGACTATATCGGGGTTTCAATATACTTGTCCCTGGACTATATCGGGGTTTCAATCTACTTGTCCCTGGACTATATCGGGGTTTCAATCTACTTGTCCCTGGAATATATCGGGGTTTCAATCTACTTGTCCCTGGACTATATCGGGGTTTCAATCTACTTGTCCCCGAACTATATCGGGGTTCCAATCTACTTGTCCCCGGACTACATCGGGGTTCCAATCTACTTGTCCCCGGACTACATCGGGGTTCCAATCTACTTGTCCCCGGACTATATTGGGGTTTCAATCTACTTGTCCCCGGACTATATCGGGGTTCCAATCTACTTGTCCCTGGACTATATCGGGGTTCCAATCTACTTGTCCCTCATGAAAATCTGCTTGTAACAAAAAAAAAAAGAAACATTTTTGCCAGGATGGAAAATACAATTTTTTTTTAATAGGCAGAGGTGCTTTGAGGAATGTCTGGGGCTTTTTAAAAACAAAAAGGGATTTATGGCAACTTAAACTGCTAGAACATTTCTTAGAACCCCCAAACATTATATTTTTTTTTTAAAGCAGAGGCTCTAGAGAATATTGCAATTTTGTAACACAGTACTTGGCAGCAGTTTTTCAAACGCAATTTTTTTGGTAAAAATACACTTTTTTTTCATTTTAATGCAAAGAAACCCACAATACTAAACCCGATTTTTTGGTAAAATATAAAAGATGTTACGCTGAATAAATAGATACCAAACGTCACGCTTTAAAATTGCGCACACCCGTGCAGTGGCAACAAACAACATAAGTTGTACTATCCATAGGTGACACTTTGAAAGTCTTTACAGGTTCCCACCTTAGATTTACAGAGGAGGTCTGATGCTATTACTGCCTATTGAGCTGACATTTTCAGTGATGCATCACGTGTGGACTTTTTTTATCACTTTTATTGCCGTCACAAGGAATGTAAACATCCATTGTGACAGCAATAGGCAATGACAGGTGCTCTTTATTGAGAGATCTGGGGTCAATAAGACCCCAGATCCTTCCTCTGCCCTTAAAAGCATTTGATCACACAAGATCGGTGTGACCAAATGCTTTCCATTTTTTAAAATACAGCCATTTACATTCTCATCGCTTCCTGTTTCCTACATCATAGAGGCGTACAGAGCGGTTTCAATCTTTGTCTACCTTCATGATTGGTCAGTGGAAGCACCAGATGGTCGATCAGGTGTCCTGGTGCGACAATACAGCTCACGCTTGTAAAAGCGATCCAGTGGCTAGTTAGATACTTGTATTCCTTTTACAAGAGAGCTGACCGTCAGTTCTAATTCTTGCTGCTTGCTCGCAGCAGGGCTAAATATAAGGAAGAACCTCTTGCCCGGTGCCTGGACCTGCACGTCCCAGGCAACGGGCTATAGGAATTGCACATCCCTGCTGTAATCATACTGCTCTGGATGGCTTTGCACAGCCATCCAGCGTAGTGTGCCTTTTTGACGTAATGTTTGGGGTCATTGTCCTGCTGGAAGACCCAGATCTTGGACGCAAACCCAGCTTTCTGACACTCCCGGGCCCTACAGATGCGACCCAAAATCCTTTGGTAATCCTCAGATTTCATGATGCCCTTGCACACAGGCCAGACGGCAGCAAAACAACCCCAAAAACATCAGTGACTGTAAACATAGCTCTACTCTTGGCTCATCTGTCAACAAGACGTTTTCCAGGCTTTTGGCTTACTCAGCGTATTTTGTGCCTGTAGTCTAGGGAGGAAGACTGTTAGTAAACAAAACAGTCTCCAGACAGGGAGGAAGACTGTTAGTAAACAAAACAGTCCTCCTCCCTGTCAGAGATCCTCGGGTAATCACTGGGTGCTGGCAAGTGGCCGAAATTACTGAAAATCCGGGACCCGGTGATCGACAGCCACGGCGGTATTGGCACCCTTAACTTAATATTTGTTGCACACCCTTTGCGCGCATTTGAAATGCAGGTAGGGCTCATGCTCGAATTTTGGACCACCCTTTGCCCAGCTCCAGGAAGTGCAAAATCACTCCACAGGTGTTCAATGGGATTTAGATATATATCTATATTCTTGAGTGCTTTTTATGTTTATATCTGTGTCCTGTGTAATCCTCTTTGTGTGCCTTGCACACAGTCAAGGCACCCAGCGCAGCAAAACAACCCAAAAACATCAGTGAACGTCTCACCATATTTTACCGTGCCGTGCCACCCTGTTTAGCAGTATACAGTAGAATTCTTGCTCTATCTTGGTCTATCTGTAGTTTTCCCAATCGGGAACTGTAGTCTTGCTGTTAAATACAAGTCCTGCCAAAGCGTTTCATTTACAATGCACATTTCCTGAGATAAATGACTGTTATATATATATTCTGTGTGTGTGTGTGATTTTAGGACATGCAGTATTTACGGGAACTGCTATGCACTGTGCTATCTTTGCTAAGAGAAATGTATAAACTCCCACACGTGCCACTCAAACACAGCGGCCATGTCCCAGGGTCAGTGACAAAAAGCTGATGTGGGTGCACAGATAGATATTTAAAAGTATAACAATGTGTATGTATCAGAGCAATGGTCTGTTTGTGGCTGTCTACACCAGGGTTTCTCAACCTTTTTTTTTCAGTCAAGGCACCCTTTAAAATTATGGACAGTCTTGAGGCACCGCACTCTAATATATGAAAAATGGTTCCAATATTTTTATATAATGCAGCAACATCCACACATGTAGGATACCCAACATTAGAGGTGATTTATTCTTCCAAAGCAAATACACTTTTGCACACTGGTACTGACTAGTATTCCAATGTTTCTCTTCTCCCTCAGTTTTTCTCCATCACTGAGCTAATGTGACCCCAGCACTGATGGAGAGGGGCAGGGGCAGGGGAGGGTCACACTAGGATGCTGTGTAGGCCACTGACATCCTCCTTATCAACTGATGATGTCATTGCTTGTCAGGATGTGAGTGGCTAGAAGATCATAATGGCACACAATGAAAACCTATGGCTTTATGTAACTAGAAGGCAGGCTTGTTCCACTCGCAGGCTTTTATACAAGTTTTGGGCAGTTTTTAGACATTTTGCCAAGGCACCCCTGAGGAAACCTCAAGGCACCCCTGAGGAAACCTCAAGGCACCCCTGAGGAAATCTCGAGGCACCCCTAAGGAAACCTCAAGGCACCTCAGGGTGCCTCTACACCCTGGTTGAGAAAGGCTGGTCTACACACACTTGTGTTCTATGTGCAGTAGATATAAATGCATGCAAGGGTATAGGAAGAATTGCAGACTGGAGAAACATTACTATAGAAACATTAGGAATCCACGCAAGAGACTGGGAACAATTTTGGATTGGCTATTCCACACTTTCCTGTCAGGAAATGATTTCCTTCCTTTTTCCTCCTAATACAAATGCATGCTGAATTCAGGCATAACATTCATACAGCTAGGACAAGACGTTTTGGGGCTCTTTCTTCAGGGAAAAGGTACAGTTTGTTTATAAACATATTTATATAGTAAAGATTTATCACTAGGAAACATTTAGTGCCGGTTCACATATGTGCGGATTGGATGAAGTTTGAACCGCATCCAATCCGCATGACATGTGAAAAAACATTGCTTCCTATGGTGCCTGTTCACATATATCCAATGCACTGGCGGGGCGGTTTCAATGCGGTTTTATTTATTTATTTCAGGTATTTATATAGCGCCATCAATTTATGCTGCGCTTTACATATATATATTGTACATTCACATCGGTCCCTAGCCCACAAGGGGTGTACAGTCTAAGGTCCCTAACTTTCCTTTCATACATACACATACTAGGACCAATTAACCTACCAGCATGTCTTTGTAGTGTGGGAGGAAACTGGAGTACCTGGAGGCACAGGGAGAGCATGCACACTCCAGGCAGGTGGTGCCGTGGCTGGAATTCGAACCAACAACCCTAGTACTGCCAGGCAGAAGTGCTAACCATTTTATAAAGAGTCATGTCCGATTTCTGAACAGCGTGGTCTGGTTCAGGTGCAGATTTAGGGTTCCTACCTCATTCCTTTAGGCTCGGTTCACACCTATACAGGTTGTGTTTGAGCCATTTCTGCATTGCGGTTTTGCGTTGCGTTTTGTATTTTTGCACCTGTGTTTTTTATGCATTTTGCGGGGGGGCTTTTTCAGTTTTTTCTTCTTGTTCCTAGGCAGATTTAAAACGCATCAAAAACACGGCAAAAATGCACTACATGCTCTTCTGCATCGTTTCCATTGAAGTCTATAGAACCAAAACCGCAACTTTTTGCATTTAAAAAACTCCCTGACCCTCTCCAAAAAACGTACGGGTGAAAACGCGGAGATATGAACCTGTCTCATAGGAAATCATGTTAAATGGACTGTACTGCGTTTCTGCAAAATGCTGCAGAAAACTCTTCGGTGTGAACCTAGGGTCAAAACTGAACACATTAATTATACAGGTTCTGGGGCTGATTAAGGTGATAATTAAACTCACTTAGTGCCTTATTTGCATAAAATCAATGTCAGAACATGTGCAATTAATATGAGTTCGGTTTTAAAGGGATGAGGTGGCAACCCTATGCAGATTACAGGCTATTGATTTCTATGAGAACTGTTTCTAAACTGCATATGTGTGAACAAGATCCTGAGCTAATCCTGTCCTGAACCTGACCTAAACCTGACGTGAACCTGTGAAAAACTACTGTATCAATTAGCTGTGAAACCCGAGCTTCAATCCGCACCGCACATGTGTAAATCAGCTCTTACCCTAGGTTCAAAGCTAATGCCCCGTACACACGATAAGAAAATCATATGAAAAATTTTGCGGAACCACTGATCGAACGATTTTTTTCCCTTCGTTGATGAGCAGGATGTTTTAACCGATAACGATTTTGTGAATGAAAAAATCCAGTGAAAAATGTTGTTGTTTCGCATACGAACGACCGATTTTCTATGCGTTGGTATGACGGTCGTATGAAAAAAATCTATCAAGCGCTATGAGCGGAAACAGAAGATGACCCGGATTTTTATGTCCAAGGAATCGTCGTAAACACGAACGAAAAATCCAAATGTTAAAAGTAGATTGGCCTAATGAGATAATGAAACCAGAATTCTGCATATTCTAATTTATGTATCACTATTTATGTATATAGATAATGTAATAAACTATATTATACTCATTGCTGTTAATTCTCGTGTATATCGCGCGTTCTGGCCAGAAGGGCGTGGCTACAATGTCACCTGACACTGCATCACTTCCACTTGTACGGAAGACGTCAACAGTACGTATTGCCAGATGAACGATTTTTTTTTGATTGGTTAATGTGGGCCACATGTAGTGCGTTTTTGACACATTTTTGATTCGTTTTGCGTTTTAAACATGCCTAGCAACAAAAAAAAAAAAACTTAAACCACATCAAAAACGCAACGCATTGCAGAAACAAGTGAAACACAACCTGCATAGGTGTGAACCTAGCCTTAGGGCAGTGTAAATGTTAGTCAGCAGTATATAGGTTGGTCTAGTAAAGCAGATGATAAAAGAACATTGTCAGAAATTATGTATACTGTTCTACCGTGTTGCCTGGGGAATACCTGGAGGGAGCAGCCATGAATGGGCCAGTGATGTCAAAAGGGCCAAACATGACCTCTACTCGCTTTTAATTACTAATTCTGTTTGAACTAAACATTTTATACAGCATTTCTCATTTTATGTCAGCTTTTCTTTCTGCTGTAAGGCTAGGTTCACATCTGTGCAGGTGGTGCCCCTGCGGATCTGCATGAAAATCCATGCAGCTGCACCACCTGCACAGAGAAATGCGGACCCGCGGGCAGGTGCCATTAGTTCTAATGGCATGCCGCCCGCACTGGAAAACGCAACCATACTGGGAACCGAGGTACCTGTGCGGGCTGCGTTTTCAGAAGAAGTGCAGGGACTTCTTCCCTGCCTGTCACGGGGCATGGGAGTCCATTAAAATGAATGGGTTCTTGTGCCGCGCAAAACGTTGCCCGCACGGCCGCATATCTGTGAACCGGGGCTTAGAGGCTCATGTAATACACTAAACAGAGGCATTGCAGCTGATTTATTAAAACCGAAACTCAGAATGTGGTGCAGCTGAGCATAGTAACCAATCAGCTTCTAACTTCTGCTTGTTCAATTACGCTTTGACAATAAGCCCCCAGTGAAATCGCAAACAAAACGCACAATTTTAAATCGTATCCAGTGTGAACCAAGCCTAAGCCCTGGTTCACACCGCCGTGATTTCAGGTGCAATTTGGGAATTGCAATCTTTGCTGAAATCAGATCTAATGAATGTGAGTGTCTTAACATACGCGATTTGCTGCAGCGCTGTTTCAAAAGTAGTTCTTGTAATACTTTTTCTGCAGTTTGTTGCGATTTCACATATAGACTACAATACAAACCGCACTGCAAGAAATCGCACTGAAATCTTCAGAAAACACAATAAATACGTTCCAGGGAAATCTTCAGAAAATGCTGTGAAAAATCACAAACAAAATGCACGACTTTTTCTGCAGTTTGTTTTTCAAATCACATTCAGTGTGAACCAAGCCTAAGCCTAAGCCCTGGTTCACACTGCTGCGATTTCAGGTGCAATTTGGGAATTGAAATCGTACCTGATATCGGATCTAATGAATGTGAGTATCTTAACATACGCAATTTGCTGCAGCGCTGTTTCAAAAGTAGTTCTTGTATTACTTTTTCTGCAGTTTTTTTTGCGATTTCACATATAGAATACAATAGAAATCGCACTGCAAAACGCAATGAAAACACAAGAAATCATTGGGAAATCTTCAGAAAATGTGGTAAAATCACAAACAAAACGCATGATTTTAAATAGCATCCAGTGTGAACCAAGCCTAGGGCCTCATGCACACAGGGCGTTTTTGAAGCCACTTTTAGTGGCGTCAGGCGTTTTTTTTTTTACTGCTTGTAAACAGTCCTCCATATTATCCTATGTGCTCATGCACACATAGACTTATAGGAGCGTTTACTGGCAGGAAAAAAAATCCATGGCCAATGCATCCAGCAGCAGCAGCGTTTTGGCAGAAAAAACGCTTGACGTGTGTAAATACGTTTCACCACGTGTTAACACTAGGTGCATTTAGCGCTTGCGCGTTAATTAATTTCAATGGGCAGAATAAATTATTATTCTGGCCAATGAAATGAATTAACGCCCAAGCGCTTGAGGCTTTGCAAACACGCCTAAACGCTTATAAATGCGTTAGATATTTTTACAAGCATCAGGCGTTTTACTGCAAAAATGCTGCTGCCAGGAGTAAGGCTTCTAGAAGAGCTGATTCACACATGTACAGTACGGATTGAAGCTTAGGTTTCACAGCAATTGATACAGTAGTTGTTCACAGGTTCATGTCAGGTTTAGGTCAGATTCAGGACAGGATTAGCTCAGGATCTTGTCCTGTTCACACATATGCAGTTTAGGAATGGTTCCCATAGAAGTCAACAGACTGTAATCTGCACCTGAACCTGAAGCCACTGCTCAGAAATCAGACATGACTCTTCTTAAAACCGCACTGAATCTGCACTGAATCTGCACCGCCAGTGCACCGGACATAAGTGAACAGGTACCATAGGAAGCAATGTTTTTTCACATGGCATACGGATTGGACGTGGTTCAAACTGCATCCAATCCGCATATATGTGAATGGGCACTAAAGTATAAATCCAACAGGATATAAATAACAACTTTGCTTGTAATCCAATAGGTACAAATTAGCAGGCTGATGGTTAAAAAAAATGCCAGCTCCAACCGACTAGCGTATGTGATGCCGTCACGTCTAGTCCACACCCTACATGTTTCGTCGTAAACAACATCTTCAGGGGAAAGGCTATACGTATTTTTTTTTTACTTCCTGCGTGCATGAGGCCTAAAACCTGGAAGCTGATTGGTTTCTGCGCACAGCTGCGCCAGATTCTGTGTGCACCAGTTTTAGTAAATCCCCTCAATTGTATCTATTATAATTATATTTTGGATCTTTTGTTTTTAATTATTTATGTCTTAGGTTTTTAGATATGTTGCTGTAATAAATTTGTAATGAATAAGTTGCATTTTGCCTCTCTGTGTGGCTGAAAATGGACTGTTGGAGCTATCAGGAGGGCATGCTGACATCTAAAATTTTAAACCAGGGCCTTGTGCATGTAACTACACCTCTGCCTCTTGCCATTTCTGAAATAGGATGCTGAAAGAGCTGACTGCTATAAATAGTAATCATAATGCCTAATTTTTCCTATTATCATTTGCCAAAGTATACAGTATTTTAATGCTTTTTTTTTCTACCAGGTACAGTACAGTGGAAGAGGAGCGCTTCCTCACTATGACAACAATCATGGCTAAAAGTGCAAATACAACTAGTCCCACCGCCACCAGCACCACCCATGTTCCAGCTTCAGGGATTTGGGCGTGGATAGAGAACATTTTAAATAAAATACCTTGTAAGTACTGCAACTGTTCTTAAATCAGAACTTTACCCATAACAACTTGATACAAAAACAACGTTCTTTAGCAAGGAACATACATTCCACATTAATAATTATGCTACCAAAATTAGTGTGTACTGTAAATTGCCTCCAGTATTATTCCTGTTTCGTCTTCCTGGAGGCTACCATTTTGCTGAAGCCAAGCAGTAAATCTTTAGCCTGTCAGCAGATCGGTCTCTAGTGGCTCTGATTTTCGGCACAGTTCCAAAAAAGAGAGCAACTGAGCATGTGCAAATCAGGGTTTAACAGTGTATTACTGGATTTTAAACAGTATAGGCACTTCTTTTTAATGTTTTACATAGCTATACCTGCAAAAGGGACCAGTCTGAAGTGATCCATCAGGATGTACGTTTTTAAATAAAGTTCCACTTTACTCTTTGTAAAAATCTTTGTTAGGTGAAGTCACAGTTCTGGAAAAGGGTGGTTCAGATTTTGTGGTTTTCACAATCCATTCCCAAGATTTAACAGGCAAAGACGGTTCTGGCAACTTATAATGGTGCAGTGAAGCGAGGCTTGAGGAACTTAAGGAGTAAGGATAGCTATGAGGGCCTCCGAACACTTGGACAGGCCACTCTAAGCTTCCAACAGTTCTGGTGTTTTTCATGATATCACATACACGTGCCTTACTTCATTGGTCAAAGCCACATACCCCCTCCCTATCCTATCATCATCTGGTGTGCCATTGATGAACTGTGCAAAATGCATAATTCCATGTTGGAAGCACATTGGATGACATGCTTGTGTCACTATGAATCACATAGAAGGAGCAGTAGGGGTTATTTACTAAAACTCGAGAGTGCAAAATCTGGTGCAGCTCAAAGAAACCAATCAGCTTCCAGATTTTTTTGCAAAGCTTAACTGAACAAGCTGAAGTTAGAAGCTAGTTGGCTGCCATGCACAGCTGCACCAGATTCCTTCTGCACCAGTTTTAGTAAATTTTCCCCACTGCATTATTAAAAACATGCTGTACAGTTTGCCTGCATCCCCCAACATGTGATTACAAGGTAGAAATTGAAAGACTCCAGCCTCCAATGCTGTAAATCAAACAGCCCAATGCACCAACTGACCACAGTGGTGGAGACCTTGCACTGTTGCCCAACCAATGATACTAAGATTTTTGGCTTCTGAATACTGGTTGATTTTGGTGATAAAGTATTAGTGCGCCCCTTTATTTTAACTTATTAACGTTCAGCACCAATAAAATAATCAGGAATAAATTTTGTTGCTAATGTGCAACCCTTTACACTAACATTATCCCTAAAGCTGGCAACACATGCGGCAATTTTAAATTTATTTTAATGACTTTTCATCAACCAGGAATTATAAGGAGTTATCGCAAAGGTTTAAGCAATGTACCACTCACAAGTGCCAATCTGATTGATTGCGAAGGCAAAACTGAGATATAAAAATATAGACAACTGCAATCAAACTGGAATGGAATTAAACAGAAAAAAATATGGCAATCTCATACAAAATCATCAGATTGTTTGATCAGGGCCACTTTGATTCCCTCTTTTTTGTGATCAGTCAAAACCACCATTATCTTCGATTGCCTTGCACTTTTGACAAAATAGAAACAAAATTTGATTGCTGAATTCAATTTCCACCTGATTGGCCAGTTTACCAACTGGTAATTCTAAACTCATTCCAAAAACCCATCGCTTCTCCTGGTATGAAGGAAGATTTTTGACGTCTAATTAACTAATTTTGATTAAAATGTTAAAACATATATACAATTCTTGTACTTATAACAACATCAGGTATGTAAAGTAAAACCAAATATGTAAATACTTGCCTTGTCTTTCAGACATTCATTTTTAAATGTCTGAAAGAAAAAATAAAAACACATTGTATTTGTTCTTTTATCCCCTTTGCTTGTGTATTTGTCCTTACTGTCTTTTTTTCCTCCCTGTATAATCAGTACCACGATGGGCAATCTACATTTTGTTCGCTGTGGCAGTTTTCTTAATCCTGCTAATCATCATCTGTTGTTGTTGCTGTTGTTGTAAGCGTAAAAAGAAAGTCAAAGAGAAAGAAAAGATCAAACTTGAATCAGTGAAGAACAGTGTCACCACAAGCTTGGTAAGTTCTGTAAAGATAAATTAAAAACATAAAGCCATTTCTAGTCAGTGGTATATGTGGAGAAAGGGACTAGGTTTGCTCTGTTTTCCACAATGTAAAATATATAAAGGAGTCAACAATTACAAATGAAACTCTATATTAATGGATACAAAAAGTAGGTGGACCTCACAACAATAAAATACTCTTTCACCCTGGTTCTGAGAGATGTAAAAAAAACAGAAAATATCTGAAGACTGAAAGCTGTGAATACAGATTTGTATGTTACTGTTCTATTAGGTTAATTATTCTTAGACAGTTACATACTGTAGCTATAGTCCCTGAAAAACAGGTCTATCAAGTTCATACAAAACTTTAAAGATGACAAAAGCTAGGCAAAATACAACCATTGTGCATTTAGTAATTACATTATTTATTGATAAACTGTTTATTTTCATTTTAAATATTCATATTATTTTTTTTAAAAGCGTGATATAATTTTCATTGCCAGATATAGTAAGTACTCCAAAATCTAACCGTCCTTAAAGTGGAACTACAATGTATTTGAGCACCACAAACCAAAAGCGCTATTTAATTCATTTTTAAAATTCAAAGCAAACTCACTCACCCATCCATGTCTCCATGATTAATTTTGCTGATAAATCACTTAGAAAAACACCCCCTAGCATTTCTGGTTGTGGCCATATTCAGTAAGGGCAGATGATGCATGTAGCAATTACTATCTGGAATCCATCTGCCTTTAGCTCAGCCATATAGGCAAGAGGGTGTACTTAGCTGAGAAAACCCCCTCCTCCCTCCTCAAGACTCCTGGGATGTGTGTGACATCATTTGACTAGGCCTGGAACCAGAAAGTATAAAAAGAAATGTAAAAAACAGTTAAAAGAAATAGCAAATACCATATATTTTCCTATCTATTTACTAAGGCTAGTAGCATAAGGATTCAAAATAGTCAATGTTGACTGAGAGAGTAAAGTTCCACTTTGAAACAGCAGTTTCAACTAAAAAGCAGTTACCATATTAAACATGAACATCTTTAAAGGCCGGTTCACAGCATTGTGGTGTGTTAGCGCACATGCATTTCTGTATGTTATGCTGCATGGTAATGTGCACTGTGCTAAGGCAAACCATTCACTTGAGTATACCATTCTTGTAGTACACGGTCAGTGCATTGTGGTGTTTCACTATTTTGCCGTGCACGTCAGTCGGGAAGGAGTAATGTGCATTCAGTAAACTAAGTGTTACTCTAAGGCAATAGAGTGAAGGGGTCCTAAATGTTGCAGGTCAAGATTAGTGGTCCTAGCATTAGTAATTAGGGACTGTCCTTCCATGATAACACCGAGCAGAAGTAAGGTTTTTATTTTTTTCAAAAATTATCTAAAGCCCAAATTGTGATTTTTTTTTTTTTTTTTTTAGTAAGGAATGGTTAAAATCCAAATAGGGAATTCCTTTCCTAGACAGTTGTCATTGCAACAAGTGTCCCCTTTGCAGGGGCGGACTGACCATTTGAGCACTCGGGCACTGCCCAAGGGCCCGGGGTCAGTAAGGGGCCCCATGGGATGCCCCTGGTACCTTTCATAGGCTTGTTTGAGTGTGGGCGAGGACTGAGGGGCCCCATGATCCGTATTGCCCAGGGGCCCCATGAGTTCTCAGTCCACCCCTGCCCCTTTGGAAAGCTAACACTCCATCACTGTTTTGGTGACAGCTCAAACGTTTGGATTTTCCCTTGCTTTCAGTCCTGGTTACAATGGTCAGCAGGAGAATGTGAGGAGCATAGGAATTTGAATTTGCCAAGCAGGGACACAAACAGCAATAAAAACATGACAGCATTGCTAACCCTATCCTGATTCCAGCCAAACTCAAAAGAGCTTACTTCATAGAACTTATGCTGTAAATGTTTTGCTAATGTTCTGTAGGTGCAGCCAGATGTAGAAGGACTACAGAAATCGCAGGAAAATGAGTATCGTGGCCGATTGCAGTACTCACTGGAATACAGTTTTCCAAAAGAGGAGGTAAGAAGACTACTTCTAATACAATCTTAAAATCACAGACTGGGGCCAAAAGTCTAACTATAGCCAAAGCAGGCAATGCTTATATACTGTGTGTGTGTGTTTTTAACCTACAGAGGACTGAATTCAAAGACACCCAAAAATCAAAGTGAAAAAAGTATGCAGAAGGTGAGTCCATGTTGCTGAAACTTTATTGCAGCAACTCAAAATGTAGGGAAAAAATTGTCAGTGGCCTGTGAGATTGGGAAACAGCCATTGTTTGAACACTGTTTGTGTGGAGTAAAATTATGGTGTGGAGTAAAATTTGATGTTTTGACTGGCATTCTGGGTTTAGCCAAAAGATGTCACTGTTTTTTTCTAACACAACTGCATAAAATTTGTATATTCATGAAGAGGTGGGGTTTTCACACAGAGTTGAAGTTGACTGCAGCTATGTTTTGGACCTCATGTGAACTGAGATCCTGACATCCAGGTGTGAAAGCGTCCCTCGCAATGATTGCTGTCAGGAAGGCTGATGAGAGCAGAGGAACTAGCAACATTTGTTCTATTCATTGCAGCAGCGGATGCAGCAGACCCGGGTCGGTAGGGTGCACGCAAACATTGTTGACTGAGTCCAGGCCAATAGTTAGTTAGTTAGGGTCTCTGTTTTGTCGGGGCCGCAAGTGTTGGACTATGATTATTGGAAGGACCACTTAAAGTGACATTTCACATTGGAGAAGTGATAAAATCCTACAAACTCAAGCCACACTGGCGTTGTGCTCAGAAGGAAATCTGGGTGCTACAGGACCAGTTATGGGAGGGGGAATACGATTTGTGTAAGATTGTAAATGCTGCACCACAGGCTAGCCCATACCATACACCCATACACTGATTCCTGCTCTTTTAGGGTAATAACGGGGTAAGGGTGTGGCAGCTTAGTTGTGCCGCCAGTAGGTAAATTACTTCACTTTCTATATCTTCATCTATCAGAAAGGCGCCGTGCTTGTGCAGCACAAGGGTCTCAGCCTTTGGGCTAAGTGTATGCATTGTATGTTCCCAGCATTGGTGTCGTTGGCAATGGGTTTGCCAGCTAAGAAAAATTCTTGTTGTGGCCAAAAGCTGGGTGTTGGGTTGCTTTCCTACAGTTCACTGACTTCAAAGTATCAAAAATCTGAAAAAATATGCAAGGCTAGTCCACGGCAAAATTTTACAGCAAGCTTAAAGGCCTCCACCTGTAAAACCATTCCTGTTTTGGGGGTTGTCTCATTGTCAAACATGGTGGGGGAAACATTCTGCTTGGGGGGTGTTTTTCTGCTAAGGGACAGAACAACTGCACCATATCAAAGGGACGATGGACGGGGCAATGTACCATCAAATCTTGGGTGAGAACCTTCTTCCCTCAGCCAGGGCATTGAAAATGGGTCTAGATGGGTCTTCCAGCATGACAATGACCCAAAACACACAGCCAAGGCAACAAAGGAGTGGCTCAAGAAGAAGCACATTAAGGTCCTGGAGTGGCCCAGCCAGTCTCCAGACCTAATCCGATTGAAAATCTGTGGAGGAGCTGAAAGTTAGAGTTGCCAAACGTCAGCCTCCAAACCTTAATGACTTATAGAGGATCTGCCAAGAGGAGTGGGCCAAAATCCCTCCTGAGATGTGTGCAAAACCTGGTGGCCAACTACAGGAAACGTCTGACCCTCTGTGATTGCCAGCAAGGGATTTGCCACCAAGTACTAAGTCATGTTTTGTGAAGGGGATCAAATACTTATTTCCCTCATTAACATGCAAATCAGTGCATAATTTGTTAGACAAAAAGCATTTTACTTGCACATGATTAGATGATGGAGGGTGCAGAACTTCTCATTTGCTAAGCTCTGGAGCAACTGCACTTGTAGAGTGCCTTTTAGTAAATCAACCTCTTTGTATCTAATTGTGTCATGGCAACCTACTGTCATATTATAAATGTCTATCGGGATCTTGTGTGAATATGAACTGTTTCTGTAATGAGTGTTTGAGACAGTCATCTGTGTCATTGGTCTTATGATATCACTGGGTCTCTTTCAATACAGATAACTATTTCAGTGAAGCAAGCTGCCTCTCTCAAGGCTATGGACAGTGGAGGGACATCAGACCCATATGTTATAGTGTATCTAACGAATGATACCCGTAAGAAAAATGAAACCAAAGTGTATCGTAAGACACTGAATCCTTCCTTCAATGAGACCTTCACCTTCAAGGTATGTGAGATATCACTGACAATACCAAACAGGTTGTTGAACACAAAATTTTGCAGATCAGATCTGAAGCAAGAGATGTTTAGTAAAATACTCTTAGCACCTTCTCGCCTGGCCAATTGTAAAATGACTGCCGTGTGGGATCCATATTTATCATATGACGTCCTCCCAGGATCGCGCCTCAAGCGTGCCCCATGGGCCGTATTCCAGTGCAATCTACACTGGCTGTGTCCACTGGACACAGCCAATGACTGATCACTACACTGGCCTGCTGCCAGTGTCATGTGATTGCTGTGACCAATCAGAGCAGATCACATGGCAGTTATAAACAACGAATGGCCATGCCATCCATTGCTTAGAACTGTGCTGCTAGCTGTGATTGGTCACAGTGATCACATGGTACAGACGGTGCCAATCGCAGCCCATCTGTGCCATGTTATCAGCTGTGGCCAATCACTGCAGATCACAACAATAACTTCTGAATGGATCTGTTTCATTCAGTAATATTGGTTGTTTATACCTGTGAAATTCACTGGTATAAGCAATCATAATGTGTAAAAAAAAAAAAAATCCTGATCACTTGCCCAGAGTAGTATAATGTGGTAACATTGTATTGCTCTGTTCTTGGTAGTAAAAAAAAAAATTGTAAAAAAAAATGGAAAAAAAGTTATACAAAATTTGAAAAAGTATTTTTTTTTTTTTGTACATACTGTCACCAGTCAGTCCCTGATTACCGCCAAACCAGGTATATAATGATGCTGTACTGCATTGGTGACAGTATGTAATTGTAGCACCCTCTTAGTGCAGCTAGGGGGAGCTAGACCCTAATGGTTAGTCAGGAGCTGGTTAGCAGCTCAGGTGTGATAGCCAGAAGGATCAAATTCTGGTCAGGACTGAAACTCTGCAGGCCAGCCCCTCTGGAATTTCCCCCTGCTCTGAGGCTTTGGGAGGAGGGCATTGGAGGCAGTGGGTGGATCTAAGGAGTGGCTGGCTGCACTCTTAAGGGACCTCAGCCATTCCCCAACAGAAGGCTTGACAAGGGCTGGGACTCCCTTAAAAGTGTGGGAGCCTGCTCAGTGTGAGGAGTGGTGTGTGGAGAAAGGAGAGTGGAGCAGAAAGATGTGAGGCTGGAGGAGGCTACTAGGAGGCCTAGTGGGATGGGGCCTCCCTGCGAGTCTAGAGCTGGAGAGGAGGTAAACTCAGTACTTATTGACCACCTGTGTGGTAGGAATGGAGCAGCCCAGCTGATAGGAGTGGTAGCAGCAGCCAACCTGCAAGCGTACAGGATAGGATCTGAGTGAGTACACCTGCACCCCCTGGGCATATAGGGGAAGGAGCACTCTGGTGGGAAAACAGATTAGCTCCCTACTAGTGACTGTTTACATCAATTAAAGGAACAGGAGCCTGATACCCTGTGCAGGAAGAAAGTCTCCAGATTCTTGGAACAAAAGGAGTTCATCTAGAGTCTGGGGTGGTACAACTAGGAGATGCTGGCTAGCACTCCACTAGAGACTGTGTTGCTGAAGAAGAGGAGTTTGTGAATAGTTCAGGAAGTTGTCCTCAGGTATCAGTTCCTTGGGCATCCTATACACTCTTTACCCTATCCAAGTTCTAATCCCCTCAATAAAATAAACAAAACCAATGCTCAAGGACTGATTTCCACCTCCAGAAAAAAAGCTTGTATGGAAAAAGCTGAATGACTGGCTCTGCAGGACTATAGGGGGACCCAAATTCATCAGCAATCCCTAAGGGAGTAGTGCTATATAATAATAAAAAAAAAATTAGGCAATCATAATAATTTCTTCATCTTCCACAAAATTATGACAAAAAAATGACAACTTAAAAAAAATTAATGATGCTTAAATACCTCAGACTGTCTACTTTCTGAAAAGTGGTCATCTGGGGCTATATGTACTGTCCTGCCTGGCGTTTTCGGGTCTCAACAAATTAGATAGGCCATTAATAGATCAGGATTTATCGATTTTTAGATATATCCCATAGTTTGTGGACTCCAAACAAATGTAGCAGAATATATTTATGGCCTACATTTTTGTAGAAAGATTATTTATTTGCAAAATGTTATAACAGAAAGGAAGAAAAACATTATTTTTCTAAATTTTCAGTCTTTTTTCTTTTATAGTGCAAAAAAATAAAAAAACTCAGTGGTGATTAAATACCACCAAAACAAGTTTTTGTATATTTGTGTGAAAGAAATTATACAAATTTCATATGGGTACCCATGGTTGCAGGAAAGAAAATCACTCCGTCTATAGTCAGCTTTATTTCCCGTAGCAGCAGCTGAAGGGCCATGCTGAGGCTTTTGTCTTGTTCCACTGTTGCAGGAACTGCCTGATACGCAAGTCTGAATGCGTATGGGATCTTTAGACACAAATTTTTTTACAGATTTTAACAAAATGTAATATATTGCACACTCCGCTCCTCACAAGACCTCCTTCTCTCTAGTTCCCTGGTCTCCTTCTCCCATGCCCGCTTCCAGGACTTCTCCAGGGTGTCACCCATCCTCTGGAACTCCCTGCCCCAACCCATCAGATTATCACCTACTCTCCTCTCCTTTAGGCGCACCCTGAAAACATCTCTTCAGGGAAGCCTACCCCACCCCCTGCTAACTTGCCGACCTCCTCCACTCTTCCTACCACTCCATCCCCCACAGCTATCTCCTCCTGTGCCACCATCCCCTCCCTCCTAGATTGTAAGCTCGAAAGAGCAGGGCCCTCGATCCCCTCATGTTTTGCATTGTATTGGTATTGTTCTGTCACATGTTCTGTCCCCCTTTGTAATGTACAAACGCCGAGCGAACTATTGGTGCTTTATAAATACTGTATAATAATAATAATATTGCAGCTTTTCAGTCCGTAAATTAGGTGGCTGCATTAGTTTACAACTTTGTGACCTACAACCTGCCCATAATGCATCTGTCTATGGAGAAGCAACAATGTCATCCTAGGCTGCTCTCCTTATATGGACTAAATACCTCCACCTTTCCTCATCTTCTTACTTACAGGGGAGATGTTCTGTAGTCCATAGAAGATGCACGGAAGTTACAAGGAGATTGGATTTCTTACAAGATCATGAGTTTTCTGTATTTGCAGAAAATGCTCATAGCTTGAAAAAAGAAAATTAATACAGCCACCATATCTAAGGACTGGTATGCCGCAGTGTATTATATTTTTGTTTTTGGGTTAAAACTTACTTGCAGTACAGATACACTGTTTACTTCTGCAATAGACTAATACACATGGTGAAACTTGAAAAAAAATTACATTTTCAAGATTTACATAAGGAATTTCAGATAAAGTCGTACAGGGGAATTTCATTTAGGCATTTCCTGATCTTTTTTGGCAAGAGACAATTTGATGTATACTCAAGCATTTACAAACAAAGATAACTTTTACATTTACAGATAGATGGAAGGTGGAATGAAGGAAGTGCCCATACATTCTATCCAGTTTATTTTTTTAGTCAGATTTCCATTTCCTGGAGAATATTCTATTTTTGTAATGTAGGATGACAGATGTACTATTCCCTGCAATGCAGAAGTGAGATCTCACTTATAGTTATGTGCGTGAGTACATCGAATTTTAATGTACACCTGTCAGTCTTAAACATGCTAAACTGGCTACCTGGATTAAAACACAAGACACCAACAGGTATCTGCACTTATCTTCAGATATCATCACAACTTCCCAGGGGGGGCCTGCAGCATTCTAGTATGCAAATATGCACTTCCTGCAAAATCAATAGCTGGCTCAGCAGTTGGGGGTCCCAGGCAGGGCCGTGGATAAGGGGGTACCACCAGTCCTTTTGTACGGGGCCCAGGCCAGCAGGGGGGCCCAAGCAGCTGGGTGAATCAGATGTGGGTAGGGAGTGTTATCGGCACAGTGTGTGTGTGGGTGTGGGGGGGGGCAATTACTGGAACTGATACCCTGTATGGCTCTCTCTGCAGCATCTCAAAGCTGGATTCTTCTCCTCCCCTGAGAGAGCCATACAGGGGATCAGTTACAGTAATGCTCTCCCACCCACCATGCCGATCACCCTGCCTGTGCACATCTGATTCACCCAGATGCCTGGGCCCCGCAGTACCGGCTTTCCTCCTCTCCTCCCGACCAGCAGCTGCAAGCAAACAATAGTATCCTCCAGGATGGAAAGTGGGGGTAAGGGTCCGATAAATATGTCACATTAACCAGCCCCTTCCTTTCCTGAATTGACACAATGAGTGATCACTCACTGTGTCCATTCATAACTGAAGCATAGTGAAGTTTGTTGGCTGTATGGGGGGTGGGGGTTTCTAACAGCAGCCCTGGTTCCAGGCACTTATCATTATTGAAGACACATGGAAAAACGTTTAGACACTGCATTTTATCCACAAAGCATGTTTTTAGCAACTGCACTTTATAGCACAGGCTTTTCTCATACGTTTGTTACTGTAAAGAATGGCAGTTAAGTCATCAGTGCTATATACAGTAGGTAATCTATTTGCTCCCATTTTCTTTACTAAGCTTTAACATATCTGTCGTATCTACTAGGAAATGTTTGTTTATAGTCAGAGTGGATCAGTGTACAGTGTCTAAAGTTAAATGCATCTGACTGTGTTCAGGTTGTGGGCGGGGCCTACTCGACCTGCACGTGGGGGGTACCTCTTCTCCTGAACGCACTCACCAATGCTCGGGACCAGGTTGGGCCACATTCATGTAAAAATCAACATTAGGGCGGAACGCCTGCTTAGAGGTGAACAGCTCACCACGTGCAGCTGTATAACCACCAGTAAGTTCACTTTTTTGTACGAAACTGTCCCATATTGCTGTACACTTCATCTTTCAGAATGTAACATTTAGGAGGGGCACCACTAAGCCTGTGCCCCAGTCCAGCATTTCTCTGCCATCTCACTCCCAGTGACAGAATGAGATCCCACCTTGCACTATGCGCCCAGCTCATGCATCAACTTGAGTAACTTCCTTGCTCTCCTCACTACATGAGACCCTATT